TCGCCAACTAACTGTTTGGAATGTTTAGAATGTCCATCCGAAAGTCCGAGCATTGAGTTCAATGGTCGTAGACTTGACAAAATTTAGAAAAAAACAACATAAAAAAATGTAACATTATTTTAGAAGAAAACAGCATCGCGTGAGATACGAGCGAAAGTTCTTCTAATTCTAGTGCTTTCATCAAATTGTTATTAAGATTCGGGAATAATTTAATTTCACTCAAATTTTTATTTCTTAATGAAATTATATTAGTTTCATAACATTAATATCAACGGCAAAGTTCTCGTAAATATATTCTTTGTAAAGTAAGTACCGTCTATATAATACTTATGTTTTTATTTGGTCTAATGTGAAGAACGAAGCTACTTGAGGAGCAATTCGAGAAAAAATGGAAAAAATATGACATACTGTAATGTATTATGTAACATGTTCGTTAAAAACACACACAAACGTGTATAAATAAAAAATACAAGGAAGCAAACCCTATGTAAAGATATGTGAGAACTGAATTTAGTACAATGAAAAAAGAAAAAGCTTTTGTTGACCAAGCAAACATTTCTTCTCTATAACCTCTCGCTTCCTGTACATGGTTTTAAAAATTCTCAGTAAACATACCTTATGTTAAAAAGGCACACTGGGCTTTTAAATGCCTTTACCACGTGTAAAAAAAAACATACTACGGCTGTTATCAAAATCAAGCAATAGCCTATTATATATATTTATATTTACTAAAAATACAAATGACACAAGTCATTAAATGTAAAATAATAATGTGGGTTTAGAATTAAATAGAATTTGTGTATAGTCCTGGATAGTAGCTAAGCAGATAGAAGAGAGCGACAGTAATAATGTCATGGCGAAAATTTTAGTTTTATTCGCTTTTATATGGTTTTATTAAACTAAAAAATTTCAAAATCCTTATAGTTTGTAGGGATTTCAAACCCGACGTAGATATGACCTACAATTTCGTGGGCGATGGGCCACCCACCGAATTCTTTCGACATGCTGTTAATGTAATCTTTACATAAAGTTGTTTGATTTGCGTAAATTTGAGCTTTTGTTATCCTGAGCAACATTTCGAATGAAAATCATTCGTTTGGATGCAATTTTTTTCTAAGAAGCGATAAAAGTAAGGGATGGAACCCCATAAGTTTGACCTATTGACCAGCAAGTATCGCCAGCACCTCACTGATAAGGAGAAAGACTTAAGTTTAAAATGGTAAATATATAATCAATTTATTCAAAATATCGACGATTGCTTAAGTACGATTTTTATCAATTTCCTTACAAGTAACATTCTTTGTTATACCAAGTTTAATAAGTGAAGATAGCAATGAGTAGATAACACTTATTATTTATAAATGAAATATATATANGCAAAACAATAACATTGTTATTTTATGAATCGTTTTTTGAAATATTTTACAAACATATAGTTTATTTTATTCTGGTCATTAATTTTTATTTAATTTCTGCAATTATTTCCATTGAAACTCTACCTACACTCATAAATACTTAATACGCATTTTTTTAAATTCATATTTTTATTAAAAAAAATAAGAACTGAGACGAGTCTTTCTGGTATATTAAACCATTTGTATCTGGTATATTAAACTATTTGTGGACACCACTGATAGTTGGAAGGCTTTAAAAATATTTAATTAGAACATATTGTATGTTGATTTGCATATACAAATGGTTTAATATACCAGAAAGACTCCGTTCTCACACTTTTAGTAAAAAGAATTTTAAAAAATGTGTATTAAGTATTTATGTGTGTAGGTAGAGTTTCAATAGTTCGTGCCTGAACAATGGGCTAGCCACCATGCAGTGTTTTAGATTTTCTTCGTGTGTCTCTCACCTAAACAGAATCCACTTTTCACAAAGGAAGTCCTGCTATAAATTACACCAATGGTAGATCATCCATGTGTTTTGTTGCCTTACTCCATCAATCCACTGACACAATTCTTAATGCAGACATTTTAATCTTTTGTGAATAAAGTTACATTTTACCTTTGTATATATGGAAACTTTTGGGAGACTCTGTAGATTGAATTTGATTCTATATTTACCATTTCTCATAATTCACGCAAAACGTCGACGACTGCTAAAATACGATTTTTATCAAATTCCTAACAACTAACATTCTTTGTTATACCAAGTTTAATAAGTGAAAACACAGCAATGAGTAAATAATACTTATTTATCATTTGTAAAATAGTATATTATATATATATATATATCTGATATAGAAATTTCAGTAACCATTGAAACTATTTTGTGTTTATGAAAAATTTCGAAATGAGTGAATTTATTTACTTTAATTACAGTGTTCTTCTTGATATTAAATAGTCCTCCAATGGATATAAGAATTAGAGTTCTTTCGAATCTCTTCATAAAATTTAAGATCTGAAAAATAATATAACTTAAATACCATTATTAATTTACAAGAAGTAAATGAAATTAAATACTTCCAATTTGTATTTAAGACGAAATGAGACAGATGACAAGTTATTGCATCTATTGAAATCGCTATAAATCTGAATACAAGAGAAGAACACAATTCGTAAAATTATAAACAAAACTCCGAAAAATATAAAAACTTCATAAAAACAACTACAAACACAACTAAGTCTTGAAACCTCACAAGAAATCAAAATACAGGAAAAAAACGTAGTGAATGAGAATATCGAAACTATGACACGAAATATAAGATTTGTGTGAAACAAAATCGCAATTGATGGGAGGAAACATGTATAATAAATAAGACATGCATAACAGATCGGTTAAACAAGCTCTGTACTCGAATGTAATTCTTGAATATACTCCCACATTTCCCAACGTCTCTGAATGACTTTTTCAATATCACGAAAGTTTCTTTTTTCTTCAATAACTCAAATTATCAAAGAGTTTAATTTCTCAAAACAAGTTATTATCAAAGCAAACAGAATAATGCTAACGAGATAAAAGTACAATAAAATGCAATACGGCATATAATATACAACACAGAATTTACGTGAAAAAATGATTTTAAACTTTGGTGAAGTTGAGAAACAGGGATAAAGAAAGAAATCGACGTATAACAGTTCAATACTTATTACAGTGTTACATATTACGAACACTGCTAAGCGTAAATTAAATATTGTGTTTGAGTGTTCGTGTTGGACACAAATGAAAATATCAGGGTTCAGAAACTTTCTTTGCTTGAAAAATTTAAACACGAAAAAATGAAGATTGTGTTCATAATTAACATCAAAATATAAATTACATTTACTGAAAGCCATTTTAATTAAGTATTGTTTGCAGACGAATTAAATTTCAAGTGTTTGCAATAACCACAAGAAATACATTAGAATAAAGGAAAACTTCTACCATTTTCTGGTATAAGTTGTAAAATCTGTTATTCGTATTAATTTTATAGGGATTACTTTATTGATAAATTCGATTTCATCAGTCGAAAAATTGTTTCGATTAAACAAGTGATACCCATTTTAATAATTATCTTCTTGTTCAAGTTTAAGAAGGAAGCTCACACTTCCTTATCCGTGGCCGAGCAAATAAAAGCACTGTACTTGCAATTTGTCGTGGATTTACACTTCACCAACTTCTGGTACTCATCGAAAGTTCGTATATAGTTAATCAGGTCCTTCCCTAATCTTTCCATATATGGTCTCGATTTTTATCTATTCAACTCCGTTCTCGAAATTAAGGAACAGACGGACAGACGACAGCGGAAATTTATAGGAATAAAATATTTTTAAATTGTAGCTCGATTAAAAAAAAATGTTTGTACAATTAGCTTGAATAACTACAATGAAACACTTGTGCGTTAATATCATGGAGCTGGTAAACGACGACATTGGCACTTGTCCTACGACAATATTATTACACAGCCTCCTGGATATGAGCAATACTGTTAATTGATTAAACTGTATATATTTCTCGATTCTGATTAATAATACATTAGCCTCCAAACAACTATTTATGTATATTAGAGTAAGAATAACCTGCTATAGTTGTACTAAATTTGTAAGTAATTTTTTCTTAAGCATATCTGGATAAGGTCCAGCATTTATACGGTCTAAAAATCTTTTATACATATAAACAACGCATGTAAAATATGTAATTAAATAAATATTACTAATTATTATATTGAAATATATCTTTATTTGGAAACAGGTACATTGAACATATCAACTACAGAGTATTATGTCTCGAAGCTGTTCTCAGATTCAGAAGACCAGAAAATACGGAGTAAAGGGAACTCGCCATCTGAAATATTTCAAAATATCAATATAATATAAAAAAAATATTTCAAATATATCAATTAATATTATAAAATTAGTTTAAATATACCTTAATCGGAAATTTCTTGGTGACGTTGAAGTAATCATTAGCAGATAAGCATAGAGACACTTTACCAAATCTCTTCATAAAATTCAGCATCTGCACAATAACTTATTGCTATTATTATATTAAAATCACAGAGACATTATGTAAATTTATCCGTAAATATAACAGATTCAAAATATTTGACCTTTAATTTCTGTTCTAAACTCAGATCGCAATTAGCAAATCTTCTTATATCTTGAAAGGATGTTTGCATCTGAAAGAGAAAAACAAAGCAAAAACATTTCATCAAATGTATACATTAAATTAAGTTTTTATTTTCATAAAACCTCTTACTTTTGACGTGGAAACAGACATCACAAATCCAACTAAAATACAGCCGAAACTTATTACAACACAAATTAAAAAAACAAAGATTTTCAAT